GGTAGTGTATACTTGTCTTTATCTAGCACTATTTTGAGATTATGGTCCTTAGTTTGTAAATGCACAATGTTAAAATGGGCTAAAAATAAAGTTTTAAACAGCACTCAAAACTTTGGAATGAATCAAGATTTTTTGAAACGGTTTGTGGCATTGTAATCAGGATAAAAATCTAGCTCAAAATAATGGGTCACAACCCCACCTTTACATTTGAAAAAAATATTTTGCATCTAATATGGCGGATCCAAGATGGCGGCCAGAAATGACCACCTTGTCAAAATGAAGTACTTACTACCCAACAATGTTTGGAAGTGGTCTAGGATTGATATTTGAAAAAATGTAGAAAAAAGTTGGGGGGGGGACATTAAAAACTCACCCTGTATAAAGGCGTAAACAATTCATGATGGTTTGCCCAACAAATGTTTTACTCAAATAGGTTATCATTTTCTTAGCATACCGGGTAAGCTAAGATTTGGAATCCAGACAGAAAAAGCAAAACTTATACAGAGTTAAGACATCACTTAAATTGAATACGGACGGCTCTAATAAATAAGGTGCAACACCAACGATAACTAATTTGTAAACTACAGTGATGTGTTGGTACCTACGTAAAAATGATTCTAGCAGCTACCAACGGTTCTAAGGAAAAGAACCAGTACCTATGTAAGAACCTACCTAAGAACTATAGTACCAATTCCGACCAATTAAATACATTAATATCTAGTCCCGAGGTTATTGATCTCTTGCTTTTGGATTTTCTCGTAAAAAGTTATAGCGTAAACTTATCGGTGTCAGTTTGAAAAAAAAAACAACCTTACCCAAACAACTTTTTGTTATTTAATAGATTACGCATTCTCTAAACAATGATTAGTATATCTATTAACATTAGAAGGAAATGTGACGAAAATCACACAATGTTGGGGTTTTGGTCATTTGTAATTATATTTCTTAAGTAGGTAGGCCATGTATTCTATGGAAAAGTACCGGTATCAAGGATCGTCGTCAAAAAGGTTGTTATGAATAAATATGTAGGCTTACGTACCCAAGATATGAGCTATGGGCCTATTGGCTGTATGGTCCAGCGATTGCATCACACGGTGAGTAGAAACAGAAAGTGACACATTGGAAAAGCGAGTTTAGCACTTCCTCTGTTAAACCTCTGTTACAATCACCCACTGCAGTTGTGATTTTTTACTTTACACTTTACACAACCGCCATTGAAGCGCCGTCAATGAGTGGAAACCTTTTTTGTAAGCTATTGGCGACGATCATTTCAGTGTCCAGCCCTATACAACACTGATTCAAGGTCTTCTTTCTGGTTGTCAAAACTCAAGAAACATTTTATACTCAAAGAATTTCTGGTTCCGATTTGGACGATGTCTAGTTATTTAATTTCATTTACGGTTACACTATTAGACTATATTATTGCACTTGCGATTAATTAAATCCGTTATGTAAGAAAAACGTTTTTAATCTCACTTGGTTGGGATTTGCTTTCAAAACGTGATTCGAAATGGTTGCGGTATTTGTAAACAACATTTGTAAACATATCATTGACAGCTAGAAAAAAATAATCTTGATCCGAACAGCTGTTCGTTATTTTATAGACGATTATGTGATAAAAATTGAACGAAAATTTGACAAAAATCGCACAAAACTGCATTTTTGACCGTCCGTAATTTTATTTACAAAATAGTAAACTATATTTAAATCACTAAAGACACTCTCGCCAATCCAGTGAATACATTAAAATGACTTGGATCTTGATAGGTACTCTGGTTTTCACGGAGAAGATTGCGTAAAATGCCATCTTGAGTGTTACAGACAAAGGGAAAGACAGACAGACAGAAATAGAGATAAGACTCGTTTCTGCTTCTTTAATGTATAAAACGTAAAAATAACCTAAAAGTATATAATTCTGAGCAAAGTACAGACAAAACTCTAATTTTATTTATATAGATAATTAAAAACTCATACAGTACCAAAGATGAAGTATTTTCTCTATAATACCCCAAATTATGATAAAAATTCAACTAACGGTATTTTCAGAATGTTGTTCAGTCCCAATTGATTCTCTGTTTGTCAAAGATAATGAGTTTCAATTGTGTATGGTGAAATAAGGTCCTCATAATTTTATCACTTTTAATCTCATAACCACTTTTTGCAGGAGTGTTTGTTCTGAACTTGACTTGCCGCATTGCGGATATCAGGCAGAAAACTTGGATCAGACTTAGAAAACTTTACAAGGACATTTCAACAGTAAAACTGGAACAAGAAGTCAATGAGATTTTCTTTTGTTGGAAGACAAAAGCCACCATGTCTCTCCCAGATGCGGCAGATAAACTAAACAGCATCGTCAAGATGAGGAAAATACAAGAAGATGATCTTGTTGATAAGGAAGAACTCTTGACTCTGATAAGATCTAAGTAGTGAATCTTTCTTCATGTCACTGACACAAATTTGTACAGATTTTTATTTTACGTGTATAACATTATATTGGAAGTGTATATATTGTGAATAAATGTATAAACAATTGATAAACTCATGTCATATTTTCTCATTTTTTTAAGCATTTACTATTTCAGTTAAAACAGTTTACTGGATTGGAAACTAATAAGGTTTATTAATTTCCAAGGGTTGTTTAACGGGGATTTTAATATAGCTCTTTAGAATTGAATTGTAGCCTACCATAAATATTTAAAGTGGCTAGCCCAGTACACTGGATTCAATATCTATCAGTAGCCTCAATATTTACTGTAGGACACGATTATTAGGAAAAACTAACAAACTCTTCTCTTGAAAATTTATCATAAAACTTCTTTTGTGGCTCAATAGTGTTTTAATCCACCACCAACATCATTTATGTTCTGTAAGAATTTGGGAAAACATTTATTTCCTGATAGTGACATTTCAAAAGTTTTTGTTCACTTTGTAAAAGTTAGGCAAATGTACACCTAACAAAAAAAAGGTGTCAAAACAAAAAACAAAAAAAAGGGGTGTAAAAAGGTGTCACCCCTAGAGATTCGTCAAACATTTAATTTTGATACAGTAGACCCCCTCTTAACCGACCTCGTATTAACTGATAATCGGATTATCCGCCTTCGATCGTAAAATAATACAGTTTGTTTTAACCGACCTTGCTTTGAGAGCAGCTCGGTTTAACCGCCGCTTTCTAGGAATCTCGGCATTTCCGCTCCCACGCTGGGCGATGAGAACTGAACCATACGCTTATCTCCACAGGATATGACTAAGAATAATTTATTTTGTATTGATCACAAAAAATATAGCATAGCCTATAAATCAGTCAGTTTGTCATCATCGTTCGTAGCGCGAGCACATCTGATCTGATTTGTTATCTGCGTGGCAAATTTATAACATCATAAAGTGCGTTACGATTTTGAGAACTGATTCTTATCGCTGGAGTAAACAAACAACTCAACTTGTAGGGAGGGCAGGGAAGGGGGGTTAACAACTCCAAGGTCAAGATAGTTTTTGTGCCTCGAGCCTCCAGTGAGAGGCTATAAATAAACATCCTGCCTTGTAACAAAATGGTTGCTTGTATCTTTAATTTCGACAAAAGGTTCTGTAAGATAGGAATTTTTATTGACTCTTGCCTTGTATGTACTGTATTATAATATATTCCACTGAAAGTAGGCCTATTTGACTTAACCATGTTTTGTGTTTTTTGTGACTTTTCTATGAATACGAAAAAGGAGATAAGAGTAGTTTATTTTATAAATAATGCAAGTATGACTTCAAAATAATGAGTATACAATTCCAAATAAATAGCACTTCATGTTATGATTTTAGGGATTGCCTGTTTTAACCGACCTTTGGAGTTATCCGACCTAGGTCCGGTCCCATTAGGGTTGGTTAAGAGGGGGTCTACTGTATGAATATTTTGTCACATACAGGGTGTCCCGGAACACCCTACCAATATTTTAGGGCATTGCTCCTGGGTAAGAAACATACCTAAATATCATATTTAAATCGTCCGGAAGTCCTTAGTTACTCACACAGCCGCCATTTTGTTTTTTTCAGTTATTAATTTTTTTCTAAAGAATGGTTGAACATATGAAATTGAAACTTTACACAAACATTTATGACAACTAGACTAAGCTACAAAAAAATTATGACAAATTTTCAAATTCAAAAAACAAAATGGCGGCCATTTTAAATTTTTATAAAATCAACGGTTTTTGTGTTATTTAAGAAACAAAATTTTAAATGGCTGCCATTTTTTTTATGAATATGAAAAATCGTCATAATTTTTTTGTGGCTTTGTCTAGATGTCATAAATGTTCGTGCAAAGTTTCCATTTCATATGTTTAACCATTCTTTAGGAAAAAATTAATAACTAAAAATAACAAAATGGCGGCTGTGTGAGTAACTAAGGACTTCCGGACAATTTAAATATGATATTTAGGTATGTTTCTTACCCAGGAGCAATGCCCTAAAATATTGGTAGAGAGTTCCGGGACACCCTGTATAATTTAAACTTATGTATACATACAATAGTTATTTGTGTACCTAGTCAGTTTGCACTCGTGTTACACATTATATTTTTCCTACAGTTACTATAAATCATATAAATAATTTAGTCTTTCAATATATATATAAAACACTGTACAACACGTTTTTAGGTTAGGTCAAATCCAAACATGGAATGAAATGGGAAAGGCTGCATCAGCTGATTGTAGTCGTAATATCTTGAAGTGTTGCCAACTTATTTTCAAGTGTACACGGATTACGTGCATAATAAAAACACATTGTTTTGTGTTGTTTGGTTGGAATACTGGTGTGCGTCAAAGGAAAACCGTACTCCAAAGTAAGGCTTGCTGTATTATAATCTGTGCAAAGCCCACTTTGTCGGGTGACTGTAGGAAAAATATAATAAATTAATATCAGCTTAGTACTTAACTCAATGGTTGAAAAATAAAAAATAATTTTAAAAGTGCATACATTAAAAGAGTGCTACAAGGTAATAAAGATGTACAGTAAAATAAAACCTTTTTGCAATAGTTAATATAAACATAATTATACTTTAGTACATAAATTACAGCTGCTTAGACATATAAGGTCCATCCAGTGAATATCCAATTTTCTTGTAGTAACTTCTAGTCCCAACACCTATAAGACAAAAAAAAAATTAATGGTAGCCTATCTAATCAAATAATATAGTAATAGTAGTTTACGCAACGATCACGTGAAAATAGTGTTAACGACACAAGTAGAAAATTTAAGGGCCAAGCCTTAAAAACTTCTATGAGTGTCGTTAACACTATTTACGCGAGTTGCGTACACTACTTTTACCTATCACAGTTTTTTAATTACTAACAATCACTACTCATAACTTCTAAGAGAGGTTATGTTTTTCGTTTATAACCCCTAATTGCCACTGACAGTAATGCAACAAATCATTGTACCAAACACTACTGTACCACTCATTAACAATTCAATTGGTCTAAATAGCTGATTATTTGGCGTTCGAAGCATTACAATTTTACTTCTTCTCTCTCAATCCTTGACCCTCGTTGGTCCATTAGTGTTGTTAAGTAAAACAACCCCTTGATCAGCATTGTACGTGTTGATAAATTTACGGAAAGTAAATAAAAGATACGTCTAATAACACTTAAAACATATTTTCCTTTTATGCTTATACTGTTAACTCTCAAGACAGTAAATATAAATAAAAGATGGTAAGTGGCTAGGTGGTAAACCATCTTGTGAGTTAACAGTATAAGCGTAAATATATTTTTTAAGTGTTATTAGACACATCTTTTGTTTACTTTCCTTTAAGTAAAACAACAATTCTGTTGCTATGTGAATCTTTTCATTTCTAAGAACTGAACTGAAATGACTGCTTAACCCTATTGAGGGCGCACGTCGGTGGAAAGACTGAAATGTACCATTTCGGTTATTACTGGAAGGGGGGAGCAGACCGGGCCACCCCTCCTAGATACTCCTCTGGCTAGGGTTGAGCTATTAAATGACAGCGGTTGGAAGGGGTTAGTTCCAAATTAGCCGTCACAGTAACAAAAACAGTGCAAGGTCGGTCATTTTGACCGAAGCACGCGTGTTTGTATGAAATTGGTCGTTAACACTGATGCGTAAGCAATATTTTAAAACCTAAGGGTCTATAGTTGATCTATATCTTTATGAAAACAGACTGACCTGATATGACAGCTATCTTGGTAGAACCGTGTTCCTCCCTGGCTATTCTTTCTGCCTCCTCCATGAGCAACATTCCAAAGCCTTGATGTTGGAATTTACCAGGGTCTCGAGCGCTCACAGGCACCACGGACCCATAAACATGTAACTCTCTCACAATCGACACTGCACCCTGGATAAGCAACAAGTATCAGAGAAACTGTTGAAAAGTTTTGTAGGAAATAGTAGAAAGCCCTTATTTCAAATTCAGCAAAAGTGATAAATTACTTCTACTTCAATATGTGCTTAGAAATATGTGACAAGGACAACATACAGGGTGGCTAGTGACCTGGAAAACCTGGAAATGTCAGGGAATATTAAATATCTGGAAAAGTCAGGGAACTTTGTTATAAGTCAGGGAAAATTGTAAAAGGTTTAAAATAATTTTAATAATTGTTAGGAAAGGTCGATCTAGTGAGAGTACGTGTGCCGTGTGGGTGAAAACAAAGAAATATGTCTGTACAAATAAATTTTGTGTTTTTGTACAAATTAAATTTTTTTATAAACTGCGTATCATCTTATCAAAATCAGTTTAGTTTTACTAAGGTAACTTGCAAAGTTTGAATATAAGCTAGCCTGTATCTATAGATTTTATGAATGTTTTTCATATAAACAAACATAAGACATTCTTCAGAAAAAGATGAGTCTTTATGAAGAATTAGTTAGTATTAAAATTGTAATTTTGAATTTGTCGATCAGGGAAAGTTTAAAAAAAATCATGGAATTGTCAGGGAAAAGTCAGGGAATTTTTCAATGTGATTTCACTAGCCACCCTGATATAACCGATGTCTTATAAATGATTGTTTAATTTACACCAATGTCTAAGGTAGAGATGAGTGTTGAAAACTCATTCAACAACATTTTTCAACAACTCTACAAGGGGTTTGTGGGTTTTTTTTTGTTTGTATCAGGTCAAAAGCGTTGGACTCTAGGTCTCAGGCTGTATTGGGTTGCTTTGGAAGGTATTGATTTATCTGAATACAGTACTAAAATCGGTTTAAATAATAGGTATTGTACACATCCTCCCGCAGTTACAGTTAAGTCTTGAACATAATCATGGAGTAATAGTGAACATCTTCCACAGTCACGACGAAATCTAGAACATCCAGGGTCTTAGTAAAATTGAGAACACCTTCCAAGGTCACTGAGATATAATCATCGTCTCCCACAATCATAGTAAAACCTTGAATATCACCCAAAAACGTCAAATTTGAATGTACATCATCACAAATGTTTTCTATAATTTCAAAAATAAAGCCTCGGCTCGAAAATCACGCTGCTTGCCCATTTCCAACACAAACAACTTGGCACGGACATTTTATCCAGCCCAATCCCTTGGGCCAGCAGTTGGCCCAACCTGACCTTAAAACATCGGGGACTCACAAACCGCAAACCCCCATTTTTTATTGACCAAAGGCTAAGATCATCAGTTTCTTTAGGGTTTTTTTAAAAGCCTATGATAAAGGACAGCTGAGTTCATTTAAGATAGAACAATTAAAAATACTTGGCCTTAACCTTGCCAAATGAGAACTATAACCACTCAGTTACCCAGTTTTTGAATTCTCTTACCTTGAGTTCAGGACGAAACGTGTCAGCAGAGCACTTTCTGAGACGTAACAGACCAACAAGTATATCCTGCTGAGGATCCTCATAGGCCAGGAATGTCTCCCAGCCTCCGTTGGCCACATAGTCTCTCCTCACTAGCTCTACCTACCACAGAAAACAGCACATCACTACACACTCTGCACAAGCAACTAACTGGCAAAGCTTGTTCCTACTACTGTTGGGGCAGATTATACTACTTTTTGAATTACAATGACGATGTCTCAAGAATCCTACTATTATTATGTCATTATTTTGCAAACATCATGTGACTTAGTGAGATTCTTAGACTTTACCATCATCGCACACAAAAACACAATCAACGATCATGACAGAATTGACAATTCTCACACATTGGAAGAAATATTATGAAACCACAGTAAACTCACTGATTTTGAACTGGTAAGTTACCTCATAAGGCCGCACTTTGTTGTGAATCTCCTGAATTCCGACCTCCCGAGTTCTTACGTCTCGGCAGTCTGTTCCAAGGTCCTTCATACGAGCCAAAGCCAACTCTCGTAAGTTTCCGTTCTCAACTCCAGAGCTGACCAGTGGCATTGGAATATCCCTTTGGACCCTGTCAAAATCGATAAAAAAATATGTTCAGGTCAATATTAATTAGTGGTTTTTTTTAAATGTATAGTTACAGACTGCAAGGAATTATTACAACTATCGTTAATTTAGGATAACAAGATCAACAAAGTGTATATTCTAAGCTGTAGACAAGGTGTGTGTAGAATGATGGGACGTTATCTGTGTAGCTTTGTTACGGACTATGATCAAATGCTTCTTTAGCCAGGGATATTTAGCCCAAATGATCAAGGACAGCTCAGCAAAGTTTAAACCATAAAAGAGCCTCTGGCTTTTTTTAGGATCAAAAGCGTAATTAATAACTTTTTGATTACCTAGGGAGTGTAGACACAAAAAATCATAGATGATTAAAAATCCTCTAACGGAATAAATGAAGGTACTACACTTTTCCAGCAAGAAGTTAAACCAGGTTTTCCTAGCTGGTAATTACAGCTGATTTTATCCGCGCCAACTCTTTACACTCTTGTACAACTGTTTTCTTACCTGCTGTAATTTGCAGGGATGTGTTAACATGAAAAATACAGCCATTGAAACATTTGCACAACATTCACAGCTCTGCAGCCATATTAGGCAGCTGGGAAACCCTGCCAGCTCCGCAGCCATATTAGGCAGCTGGGAAACCCTGCCTTAAAGCGGAAAGGAAGACATCGTACAGCAAGGGGAAGATGAGGAGTTTTATTTAGAGAGACATGGATGGAAGAGCGTACCTGAGAGAATAGAGCTACGCAATAAATCGATCATGATACGACTGTTATGAAAAAGAAGTATCTTCCTTAAACCTACAGTAAACTTACAACTCCACCTGAGACACTGACCTGTAGACTCTAGTCCAGGGAGGCACCAGAGAAAGAATGTGAGCTATGAGGTCCACCAGAGTACTTGGAGGATAACTCTTGTACCTTCCAGTCTTCCACAACTCGTACAGTCCTGTCCCTCTGATCACCAATGTCGGGTAAATCTTGAGACCGTCTGCTCGAAACGCGGGGTTCTCAAAGAACTCCTGCAAAGTAACACAATTGACAGTAAAACTAATTTATTTAGTTTGCAGAAGACAAGTTGTTCAGATTTGTTAAGTTTGGACTTGATATGGTTCGGACAGCCAATTATATATCACTTTCCCATTAGCATACACACAGCGCTTTTCCCAAGCCATTTTTACCTTCAGCCTAAAATGGCTTTGAAAAATGGACTTATTTATATGAGAATATTGTTTTTAATAAGGTTAAAGAGATTTATTGACTTTTGCTACTTAATTAGTTAACGAACGATGAAGACAGTATAACTGTTTTTAACAACACAAAGATGTTCTCGCAGTAAAAAAATCATTACAAGTTCTGCATGGTCATACATGTAGAACAGTATTGTCAAAATCAAAATTAGTTAAAATTTCACTGTTTATTTTTCTCCCAGGAATTAGTTTACTAAACATATTTAAAAGTGAATCTAAATAAAAGAACATAAAGGATGGGACAAAATTAAATAAATGGTTAGGTTAGCTAATGTATAAACTCGATAAAATACAGCTGTGTTTACACTAAGCCAGTTGGCAAGAACTGGGCAGTAAAAGTCACCTTCCTCTGGTAACTTAAAATGCACTAGATGCGAGTAACCTGCCTTCTCTACTGGCCTCGTGCAAACACAGCTTAAGAGTATAACTTTCATTGAGATGTTTTAGTTTTGCTTACAATGAACTGTTCAATATCCCGTTCAATATCTACGTTGGGCAGGTCAGGCATCATGTGAGCGACCACCTTGAACCCTGCGTCCTTGGCCATGTTGAAACTCTCACTCACCGCTCTCACCTGGAATATGCAAAAGTTAATTAAGGAAGTGTAAAAGTAAACTAGACCATACTCTCAGTGTTTTGTGTGCGAAAAGATATGTCGCTGACCTTTCTTTCATTGTATCACAGACAAGGGAAACAAAGCAGACAGCCAACGGTCATTCTCCAATAGCTCACCAGAGTGCAGGCGCGTGTCGTCTGCCACGCTCCGCTATTGACTCCTCTCTACGTTACCGACCTTCGCGACGCAAAGGAAATGACTTACCGTACGCACGCGCTTCGCCAACACTCGCGAGGCTGTACTATCACGATCACGTGTATTCACCTACCGCGGCAGCTCCCTTCGTTGACGGATTTGTAACAATCTATTGTACTGTTAATATTTAGTAGTATTTTTTAGTTTTATAGTAAATTTTTATATTGTAATTTAATATGTAAATTAGTAGTATTTTTATTTTTAACATGTCCGGTAATTTGTGCGCCTACGCAAAATGTACAAACAGCAGAGCCAAAGTGAGGGGGCTAAGAATGTTCTCCATCCCTCATCACAACACAGACATTTGGGTCCGGAACTCTGGTAAGTAAATTTATATAATTTTTATTACTTACATTTTAATTATAAATTTTGCAACATTTTAAATTTACATAAGAGTTGCTTAGATTAAAAGTATGTTCTAAACTATTTCTAAGAGACGCTTAGAGATGTTTAAATGTGTATGTGCAGCAAAACTGCAGACTAAGCAGACTGTGGCTGGTATGTTTACGAAAATATTACGGCTGGTATAAATATACTATAAAAATGTTCCCTAAAAATTGTCAGATTTACTTCCTATCTAAACAACATTAATGTTAGTGAGCATTTAGGTTTGCTACTACGGGGAATATATTGAGGTGTGTTTTAGATTAATTAAAAAATGGCCACATTGTATTTATTCTCCATAAGAATAACATGGAAATTTTTAATTTAAATTTTTTTATTATCTCCGTAACTGAACATGTCTCCGTTGTGACAAGTATTTAGCCACACTACATCTGCAGCTTTGAAAACCGCCGTATCAACTGGACAGCTACAAACGGAAACCGCTACAAACACTGCAAATTTTGTGAGCAAAATAAATTCAATTTTTGATAGTATGAACAGTCGAACACGTTTTTCAAAAAATCCAGACAAGTGTGCACTAAGCAAAACCAACAATCACATTTTAAACCTTTTTCATGACTCTCTAGACATATTTTCAACACTCAAGAAATTAAATGCCAAATACCCTAGACCACCATGCTTTGACGGATTCATCATCACCATTCGGGCATTCCTTGGACTTATTCAGAATGAGCAATGCAAATATATTATGACATCTAGGCTCAATCAGGACCCTCTAGAAAATCTTTTTTCATCAGTCAGGCAGCGAGGAGGTTTTAATAGAAACCCAACAGTGAGAGTTTTGAGGGCCACACTGAAGATACTAACAGTTCAACAGCTGATTGAACCTCCAACCACGACGTCCTACGATCCAGACGTAGATGAACTTCTGGAAGTAACAGAAATGCCTAACCAGAATATTCATCCAAACCCCTTGGAGGAAGCAGAATCATCTTCACAAACATCGACAATTTCATCTAATGACAAAGGCTTGCAAGCGACGGTGTCAACGTGCAGCATTACACTGGAGGACTGTTCTCAAGTTTATTTCTCTGGATACTTGGCACATAGTTATCTAAAGAAATTTAAGTGTAAAGACTGTTGTAAATTAATGTGTGATCCCCAGTCTTCTCTTACGGATCGAAAAGAACTGCTAATACTAAATAGAGCATATTCAAACGTCAAAATCGACCCAGCAAGTGGACTTAACTTTCCTTCGGAAGCGTTATTGTATGTTACTTCTGCTGCTTTCAAGGTTTACAAAAAACTGTATCCAAAGATTGCTCACAAAAAGAAAATACTACGCAGACTCATGCGAGTAACTGAGAAGGTTGTAAGTTGTGATTCTATAGTATGTATAAAATGTTGTAAACAATCAAAATATGTGTTAAATTTGTTATTCAAAGTTTTGATTCACAAGCAGTGTAAGTGGACATCCAGTAATCTGAAAGAAGTGTCTACAGGAAAACTTAAAATATTGAAACATCAATAGGTCTAAAAACATAAAGCATTCGGCTTTTTGGGGTTTTTTTTCCATGCTCAACTTGTACTAGTTTGATTGAATATCTTTAATTTTCATTGTTTATTGCCTAAATACGTATCATTAACAACTTCCAACTGTCACGGCATTTTAATTTTGTTTATCTGTGTTTTCTATTGTACATATGGACATCTAGCAAACAAACGTGGAGACAAGGTTTAAACATGGAATAAGTTTTGTATATTGTATTTTATTGTAAATTAAGTCACCACCGTTAATGTGTAATGTAAGTTAAGTTGTAAAGTTACCTTTTTAACGTATTTTATTCCCTTGTCTGTGGTCACGTTCACGTAAATCTACGTATATGTAATATTTGTCACATCCAGATTGAAACATGAATTAAAACTAAAAGTGCAATACCATTTTTAGGTGACCTTAAATCGTTTCTGACTCCTGTAGAATGCTAAAAAGCTCATTTAGAAACTTTTCTGTAATGTAGCCCATGTATAATTATTTTAATATTTAATAAATAGGTAAAAAAGATTTCATTTCATAAAAATACTTACTGTTTTGATGCAGTTTTCATTATACTGAATTTTTTGTTTTTATGTCATAAAATGTAGCATAAAAACCGTATGTTATCTATATGTAGCCTACAACATAATTATTTCATCATGTTTGATTTAAGGGTACACATTTTCATGCAAATAATTTTCAACCGTATGTTATTTATATGTAGCCTACAACATAATTATTTCATCATGTTTGATTTAAGGGTACACATTTTCATGCAAATAATTTTCAACCGTATGTTATTTATATGTAGCCTACAACATAATTATTTCATCATGTTTGATTTAAGGGTACACATTTTCATGCAAATAATTTTCGGTCCTTTTTTACACAGATAAATCCATGATTTGCAAAATGATAGTTAATTATATGTGTCATGAATATAAACTGTACGATGGTTTACCGGTTTTAAATTAAATGCATCTGAAAAGTAGCCTGCCACAGTTGTAAATAGTATTTTGTTGTAAGTACTTTGTTTATTTAGTACGCTTTACATCTAATAATGGTGTATTACTTATTTGCTTTCAAATAGGATTGATAATGGAAATCTTATTTATACTATCCTTTGAAATTAAGTTGGCGTTCTTAAATGTCCCATTATACATTGAGTATATTAATATTAATTGCAATAGTAAAACTAATCATGTATAATCGTATAAATTAATTTTATTGGAAATTCATTACATTTATTGGCCTACTAATTCACAAGGATAAAAGTACTTAATAAAAATGTTTAAAGGCAATTTGGTTTATCATTTTCTTGAACGACCCTGTTTTATACTTTAATAATTTAGAAAAATAAGTGTTCAGTTAAGCAGCGCAATAAGTGCACAGGTAAGATAAAACGTGTTTTATCATAAATAATTTCTTCAAACATTTGTATTATTGGTCAACATTCTTTTAAGAGGTATAACTGTGACATTTTTTTGTTATTTTGTCAAATATTATTAGATATATATCTTTCCCATATTCAGAGTAATTTATCTACAAACATATTGATTTAAAATTATTAAAATAAACTCAACAGTATTCTACAACAGAGTTCTTGTATTTTGTGTTCAAAGGAATACCTAACATATAGTTTCGTAAGTAACATGTGTTTATTGAGAAAATAAATAAAAACTCACGAGTTAATTAAAATGTACCGTGTTGAATTTTTAAACAAAGCTTTAGGCCTAATTACCAACACAACAACAGTCACAATTGCAAACTTTAATGATTAAAACCGTAATTTTACATTGCTAGGACTGCATGCTTGCTTTGTACTAAATGGAATTAGACATTTTATCCCAGTAAATAGAAAATATTTTTTGTTTTAGGGTATTAAAGTAGCTTTTATCTACATTTTATTGAAATAATAATTTTGTTCTATCCTTAATATAAAATTGAATTATACGCTTGCAGCGTCATTTACGTCTATGTACTCATGAATTCACTAGAATTAATTTGAATGATTTTTAGACTGTCGTGTTTTGTAGCGTTTGTAGATTATAAATATGTATATTTCATTCTAAAAACGTAAATAATTTAGTAGTAGAACACTGTTCCTCGTACTCGCGTCGGTAAAGAAGATCGTTCGCATCATCGACAGTGGCGCTGCCTGATATCCGCATCATGAACTAACTCACGGCGCAACGACGGCTGGCTGTCTGCTTTTGTTTCCTTAGTCAATGATTGTATTTATATGGGACAAGTGTTTGCAGAAAATGTCATCATAGGGTCATTCCATTTCAAATCATCCAATAAAAAAATAAAATGTCACCCATGACCTCAGATTTGGCTGATTTTTTTTTATTTCTTCATTTAACCATCTTAATAAGCTATACCAAGTTTTAAAAAATTATCTTTAATAGTTTTTGAGTTATGAATTTTTGAAATTTAGCAAAATACGCTTATAACGGCGCTTCCGAGGCATAAACGTTCAGTGACGTTCTTTTATAAAAAAAACCATAACTTCTACAATATTCAACACAAAGCAATAGTTTTTTCACCAAAATGTCCAGAAAAATCAGAGGATTATAGAAAAAAATACATTTGGTTAGTTATTACTTCATACTTATATGTAATGCATTGCTAAATTTAAATTTTGGGTTATTTTACAATTTACAAACAAAAGATTTTTAAAAGCGATTATTGACCAAAGGCATAGCAGTTACCAAAGTATTTTTTTTTTTTAATTAACCCTAAAGATATAAACTAAAGTAATCTGGAATAAAATTAATGGTTTTTTACCTGCTAATATTTTTTTTAATTCATAAAAGTTACAATATGGGTTATGGCGCAGAACTCCTATGAAATTGATAACTTGACTTCGCTTTCCAAGTTTAAAACCTCTAATCACTTTTATTAGCAAAACAACATATTTTGATAGTGCTCATATCCAGTAAAATATATTCTGATTATGTAATATAGCATATTACTTGTAAGTAGGACAATTTCCAGTACTTGTTACTTACAAAAAATGTAACAGTAAAAAGTCTTAAATTCATGCAACTTAATATAAAAATTATATTCTAAACAAAAATTGACTGTGTATTAGTAGAACAGTAATAATTGATTTTATTTAACTTATTAAGGTTCTCTCTATCTCTGTTAAAGATAACTTATCAACAAACAGGAATCAAGAACAGTATAATTGATTTTATTTAACTTATTAAGGTTCTCTCTATCTCTGTTAAAGATAACTTATCAACAAACATGAATCAACCTGAATCCTCCAATCCAGTACACACTGGAAATAAATGTTCATGTTTTATTCTGCAAGGCTTTCATGTCTCAACATGAAACCCCCTCTATGTCTTCCTCCCACTCTATTAATTGTTAGTTCCATTTAATCTGTTGCCCAGTCAATATCAGTGAATAATGAATGTGACTTTGTTGCCAAGTTTGAAATAATAGTGATATTATAACAACAAATAAGTTTTAGTGCAGTGAACCGGTATTCATATAATTGTTTAATACCTTCTAATTTTTTATGTTTTTATAGTTAGTTAGTTTTTTGTTCTCTAATGAAAAAATGTCTGAATCAGAAATTGAACAGTGCAGTGTTGGTAAAGAAAACAAAAGTGAGTGCCATAAAGTAAGCTACACACAAAAAAAACAGTTAGTAAACATTTCAGATTTGGACAAAGCGGAAGTTCATCTTATATGTTTAAGGAGTGGGGTAAGTGTAGAAACCCTGAAACACATATGTGAGCATCACAAAATATTTTACCTACAAAAATATGAGGCCTATCAAACATCATGCATGGATCCATTTCTGTCCCACAAGAAAAAAATCACCAAATCTCTCAGAAAAATAAGTTTAGAGTTGTCAGAGAAAATAAATCGTATTGAACAATGCCATAAGGTTATCCCAGGTCAGAAAATATGTGATGTTTGTCGGGACAAAGTTAATAAATATCAACTTTTGCAATGCAGTAGCACTAACTCAGATAATGATAATGACATCCTAAGCGATGAAGAAATAAGTAAGCTGGAAACATCTATTGAAAAACAGAAAACTTTAGAAGAATTAAATTTGTCATTCCAAAGTATTGGAGAATCACCCTTAAAGGTCCATGCATTACCTTCACACTGTAAAGCATCATATGCAAAACGAAAAATAGAATCGGCATCCTCAACATTAAAATCAAAAGTTGCTAAGGCCTTGGAAGCAGATTATTTTTCAGATGATGAAACGACAAAGAGCAAAAGATATGGACAGATTAGTTGAACTACTAAAACTTAAACTAAACATTACAAATACAAAAAGAGAGAAAATACAAATTTTAACTCTTGCACCCAGCTCTTGGAGTAGGAAAAAAATTTGTCAAGAGTTCAATGTAAGTGAATACATAGCTCGAAAAGCCAAAGAACTAGTTCGGGATAAAGGTATTTTGGCTCTGCCTGAGCCAAGAAAAGGAAATGTACTTGGTGAAAATGTACTTAGTTTGGTCAAAATGTTTTATGAAAGTGATGAATATTCTAGGGTAATGCCAGGTGCAAAGGATAAGATTAGTATCTCAAAAAATAAATACATGCAAAAGCGGTTGTTACTAGCAAATTTAAATGAATTGTACAGTGCATTTAAGTTTGATCACCCCTACATTAAGATTGGATTTACCAAGTTTTGTATGCTCCGGCCAAAATGGTGTGTTCTTGCGGGTGCTTCTGGCACACACTCTGTTTGTGTATGTACCATTCACCAAAACGTTACCCTGCTACTTCTTGCGTGCTCAATTGAAGAACATTACAATGATCTGATTGATAGACTTGTCTGTTCAAGAACTAATAGAGATTGTATGTTAAGGCACTGCACAAAATGCCCGTCTAGTGATAATCTCAAAACGTATATCAAGGAGAAATTTGAAGAGTGGGACCCTAATGATGAAGTTACTTAGTCAGCTTGGATATCAACTATCAACAGACCGAACCCACCAGGTACAGTATACCATTACATTTGAAGAATATTTAGAAACTTTGATCAAAAGCCTTGAATCATTGGTACCACATTCTTACATAACTAAAGCTCAGGCAAAATATTTGAAAGAATACAAAGACAATCTAAAATCCAACCAAGCTATAGTCCTGTTAGATTTCAGCGAAAACTATTCCTATGTAATACAGAATGAAGCCCAAGGTTATCATTGGACACGCAACAGTTGCTCTCTGCACCCGGCTGTTATTTATACTCGAGACGAAGACAAAGATGAACTTGTAGTATCAAGTTTATGTATTGTATCCGACGACTTGGAACATGATGTTCCCTTTGTTCATGAAACACAACGAGTTGTTGTAGAATTTATGAAGGAAAAATTCTCTAACGTTAACAGTTTGGTCTACTTTAGCGATGGTTGCGCAGCACAGTACAAAAATTGTAAAAACTTTATCAACCTTTGCAACCATGAAAATGATTTTAACTTAAGTGCTTCATGGGGTTTTTTTGCAAAGAGCCATGGAAAGTCCCCATGTGACGGCATCGGTGGAACGGTAAAACGTCTGGTTGCCAAAGCCAGTCTTCAAATGACACCTGGCACTGCAATAGACAATGTCAACAAGTTTTTTGATTTTTGTAAGTCCAGAATTGAAAATATTAATTTCTCTCTAATCAGCAAAGAAAAAATATTAGAATCTAGAAGAAGCCTTGAGGAGCGTTTTTCAAAAGCAAAAACTGTGCCTGGAACACGCAGTTTTCATCATTTCATTCCAAAATCAACAGACCGAATTGCCACTAAACGTATCAGCTTTGATGAGAAATTTAGTACAATATTTGATTTTGTAAATGAATTACCATCTCTGCAAATGGTAGATATAAGTGTTAATGACTACATTGTGTGCACTTATGATGACAATTGGTATTTCGGATTGGTCATTGAAAAAAATGACATTGAGTGTGATATTCAAGTCAAGTTTCTACATCCCCACGGACCAGCAAAATCGTTTTATTGGCCTTCAAGAGAAGACATCTGTTGGATACCTCTATGCAACATAATTTCAAGTGTCAATCCACCTACAACTAAAGGCTCAGGGAGGATGTATTATTTTTCTGAAAAGGAAATTCAAGCTGCTGACTTGCATTGCAAGAAAATGTTGAAACTTACACGCACCCATATTCAAAACTAAGGTAACTCCTCTACACTGTTAGATGCCTTTATGATTATCACAAAAATGTTCTAATCCAATAAGCCCTTGTATAAATTATAAATACATGTCTTTGTAAGTAGGTACATAATATTGGCATATCATTTACTGTAGCTTTAATTTTATGTACAGCCTAATATACGGTAGGCTACCGGTAACAGTTAAAAATACATGTGTTCACATTTAATATCTAAGGGTCAGTGCATAAATTTTAAGTATTGAGAAGGCATTATTATATAATTAAAAGATGTTGTTTGCAATTGTATAAATATTAAAGGTTTTAGACTTGGATAGCAAAGTCAAGTTATCGATTTCATCTGATTTCTGCGTCATAACCCATATTGTAACTTTTATGAATAAAAAAAAATATTAGCAGGTAAAAAACCATAAATTTTATTCCAGATTACTTTAGTTTATATCTTTAGGGTTAATTTAACAAAAAAATTACTTCGGTTAATGCTATGCCTTTGGTCAATAATCGCTTTTAAAAATTTGTTGTTTGTAAATTAAAAAATAACTCAAAATTTAAATTTAGCAAAGCATTACATGTACATATGAAGAAAATAACTAACCAAATGTATTTTTTCCTATAATCCTCTGATTTTTCTGAACATTTTGGTGAAAAAACTATTGCTTTATGTTGAATATTATAGAAGTTATGGTTTTTTTATAAAAGAACGTCGCCGAACGTTTTCGCCTCGGAAGCGCCGTTATAACCGTATTATGCAAAATTTCAAAAATTCATAACTCAAAAATTATAAAAAGATAATTTTTTTAAACTTGGTATATCTTATTAAAATGGTCAAATGAACAAATAAAAAAAAATTCAGCCAAATCTGAGGTCATGGGTGACATGACCTGGATGAAGAGGCATGGAATGACCCCAAATTTTTTGTGTAATCTTGAATTGCTCAATTTATCTGAAGAAATCTTTCTTCCCAACTAAATCTTTTGATAGTTCAGGTAAGCTTGCTATCCCCACAAAAATTGAATGTGTAGCTGATTGGTTACAGTGCTCGCCCTCAAATCTGAAGGTCGCTGGTTCGATTCCATCCGAGATAGTTTCTGGACGTAGACGCTATTTGTCATTGGGCATTAAATTAATTGTGTCTAACTAGGTCGACTAGGTAACAAGACTTGAGTTTGGAGTGTTTCCTGTTCCCTTACAAAAATGTAAAAATGTCAATCAACAAAGATAAACACAAAATAAAATATAAAAATAAAATACAACAGTATTAGTTATTCTTGTGTACACTACCGTATGTCCTCGGTTGGTATCCCTGGCTACATCTTCATACACACTCTGTACTCCTATCTCCAGCCTGGTACAGCCGTAGCCGAGCATATCACTGAGGTGGCGCTTCAGGCAGTAGTCTGGCCTCGTCTCTATCGTGATGCCAATACATTTTGTCTTGCTTTTTTCCGAGTATCTACAACAGCACTCTAGTATGGTATACTGGGAGAAAGACATTAGACAAGTTTTGAATATTTGATATTTTAAACTTTTGATGTAAAATGATTATTGGGTTGGTCTAATCAATCAGGTGGCCAGGTGCATTAGTCAGTTTTCTCAAAACAATTTTGATAAATTAAATAATACATTCGTCTTCCCAAGTAAACAGATGAACAGTGGTACTGCTCTACAAAAAAACCCAACCAAACACTTGGAAGTTATTGTTTTGATAGGCCTACCTACTGTTTTGTTATAAACAGTGAGCATTTTTGAAACTAAAATAATTAAAAAGCTAGTGGGGAGAAGCCAACATGATAAGTGCCAGGCTGATAAGCAGAGAGAAATTACCAGTAATAATGGTAGAAAGTAAAGACAGTCTATTAAACAGTCCAGTACCATTTGAGGGTTATGCTCCTAGATGGATATTAGCATGCCAATTTGTAGCAACTAGAGAACACTACGTAACCTAAATATCAGATAAAAACAAAAACCTTCCGCTATCCCTCACCCACACAACTAACTCTAGCTTTATAGTATAAACAAAGACTATTGATTGCAATATGTATATAGATTAGTTTTATTATTTAGTGATTAGCAAGTGATGTGTTGACAAGACTGATTTGGTTAGCTCAAATAATGCCAGTCTTGTAACTGACATTCAACTTTTATCTTGCAGAGACCCCTTGTAGAGGCGAAGTAATCCAGCTACTAGGAGGTCACGAATTGTGGATATTTATAGGCATGCACTGTGTATGCGATACTCCCTGGTGTGGATTAACGTCCGCACGGGTGAGTACTACGACTATCCGGAGTGCTATCCTGATAATTAGACCAATTCGTATATACCAAGGAAAAAATGTGGTTCGGATTCCACTATAAACTGTAGGTCCCTTAGTCGCCATTAGCTGTATGGGCTATTAATTGACAGCTGTGTCTAAGGAAAATGTCGGCCTTAGTCACTAACAAGACTACAAGATCGCGCCACTCATCATACACTCATCACCATTCATACTTGGCTTAAAATACCTACTTTGTATGGTCGCCATTTCAAGGAAAAAGTATTAAAAAAGTATTAAAAGAAGTATCAAGTTAATTGTTCTGGAACTCTTATCTTAGGTAAGTTAGTTGTGTATACATTCCTACTTCCTTATTGCATTTCTAAGCCAAGGGTGTTTTCATCTAATAACCAATTTAATCGTTAGTAGTCCAGGGATGGACACAAACACTTTCTATTATCATTAATGAAAACAAAAAGAACAGAATAGTTTCAAAACTCACTTGACAGCTTCTTCCACACTGTTGCTAGTGTGTCCAGACAGAGCATCGTGCAAGTTACGGATGAAGAAGTCCCGATATTCTGCCGGAAGAGACATAAATGTTCCTCCCATCACAATAAACTCAACTTTGTCCACACTGTGGCCTAGTTGACGTAGCTGAAACATTTACAACACAAATTATTTTACAAGAAAGAATAATGTTGATGCCGTTAATATTTGTTTCTCTCTAAATGAGATGGTGTCTACGCTGAATAAGCCTTCCGGAAGAAAATAGCAGGCTTCGCTGGCAATCATTTGAGGCGAGGTCTGAACAATCACCACAAAACCAATTATGCTTGAAAAATAGGTATTTGTTATATCATTTGAAATTGTTATAAAAATAGTTATAATATTCTATACCGAACATAAAAACTGAAATATTAAGTGTAGAATAAAGTGGGAGACTGATCTCAGTGATTTAAGTAACTCAGCCCATCACACCCATTCTTCTTAGAATGGAATCCAACAGAGAGGATTTAAAGGAACAGTTTTTAAGGATTTCTTTTCTTGGGGAGCAACCATTCAGTGATGGATAATGTTAAAGCTAAAGATGGGTAGCTGAGTGGTTATACCGTAATGCCTGCCTAGAAATCAGAGAATCACCTAAAAAAACTCTTAAGAAAATTCAGACCTTTTTGATTGTTCAAAAATGAAACTTGAGTGACCTTACAAATTATTTGACTGCGTGTTCACTACTCAGTTGAACTCGTAGAACTAACCTCTAAAAAGTTGGCTTATTTTTTTCAGTACAGTACTGGTAGGCTACAGTACAGTAATTGTTTTGTTTCGTAAAAGAAGAAAAAGTTCAACACAAAATTACACACTATTTTTAGTTCTACAAATCTTTAAACATCTGTGAATTTGTAATATTTGTATGATAATTACTAATACGATTTTCTATTGATTTTGCAAAAGTGTGTTTCTTTCCTTTGAAAATCACAAACAGACTTAATACTAATTTTTACTATCATGTATTGATTAGGCCTACATATTATTATTAGGTAGAAATAATCACTTATAGAATAGGTTGGTATATAAGGCCAGGGGCTTGGGTCCCGTGGTGGCCGGATATATGAGGGGTTCTACTGTGAGGAACAAGCCAACTCAAGTAAGTTAATACCTGATCAACTCTATGCCTGGTCTGCAGGTAAGGGTTGTAGCGAGCCCGGATGGCTCTCATGGACGTTGGTTCGTAGCCAGTGTAGGACTGAGTTGAGTACTCAAAGTCAGAGTCCGGACCTCCGGGACAGTAGACACATATGTTGCCCGTCATGTTGATATGCGGACATCTGTGGGGCTTACACATCACTGCCACCACGGCAATCTGCAATCACAAGTCACAATGTCAGCAACAATAACAACACAATAAGACAAAGTTTCCCTCTGGTTTAAATTAAGATAAATTTAAGGTAGTTTAACAAGTTATTGTTAATATATATACTACTAAGTTACATGAGTAATCTAGCAAGTTATCATGTTATAAGGTTGGACAAACTGGTTATATATTTTACTTGTATTTTTTGTACTTGACAACTTCCGTTCCTTCTCTTAAATCATGTCAAGCAATGTGACTGTCGTGTATAATGAAACTTTTATTATTATCCGTTTAAATCTTGTATTTAACAACGTGTAGTTTTTCACTACCCTCAGTGACCAACAGTTATCAACTGTAAATCTGCAAACAATTATTTTAACACCAACAGTCTGGAGGTAAAATAAATTAATTATTAACTCAGTTCATTATAACCTAAAATTAGGTTACTAATCTAACTTTATTTTGAAACTGATTTATAATAAATCATCTCCTCTTCATTATAAAGAAGATTTCTCTAAAGAAAAAAAATCTTCTCTGAAGAAGATTTCTATAAAGTAGATCTTCTTCTCCTCATCATAGATCTAAAGCCTATTCTAGTCCCTCCTTAAACCGCTACAGAATCGGAATAGCTCCATTGTGTTAATTTAGTTAACTTTTAGGTTATTGGACACTTAGGGCTTTTTCCGACTAAAATCAATTGCATTTTCGGATTCAGGGTGAAAAATACTGTAAGTCTGCAAATAGCCTAAAAATATAGTTTTTACCAGACACATTAGAACTAAATTAATTTTCATTGAATTTTTACTAAACGTTCTAAAAAATATTTACATACCGCTAGTGTTATCAGGGGGTTTTAGGAGTTAAAAAATGTATAGCCTCAGGATACAAAGCCGCTGACTTAAATAATAAACATACTTACACCACTGGCTGTCCTTATCGGTTTTGATTTCAATTTTGGGTATAAAATCTTTTTATATTCCGTAGGTACTGCTGCAATTATGTCAACTAGTCTAGGGGAGGTGTCAAGACCATACTTAGAGGCTATTTGCGTTTTCAGCCTGTTTAGATTAACGTCTTTCTTCTCATGTACTGCCTGCAGTAGTTCTTGGATTATTTCTGCAATGGTTATCACCATCCGTTGCTCATGACTCATTTTAGCAACTGCACCTGAAACCAATGAAATCACCAATCATTGACATAAAAGCTTCTTTTTCTAACACACCTTAATTTTTTTTATGGTAGTATAAAATAAACAAGTACCTATTTGAGAAGATATATGGAGAATAGAGGAAGAGACAGAACTAAGCTTAGGGCCTACTTAATTTACTACAACTCAAATTTTACTTATACTTTGTTAACAGGCATCTAAATTACTGTGCCTCTAGCTTGCGGGACTGGGGAGATTCCAGGAACAAATCTTACCCATCATTTACTTAGAACATCCATGTACGTATTTTATTAATTTTTATGGGGGAGCTATCTATCCCATGTTAATATCGTCAACATTTTTTTTAAAAAGTACTAGAGTTAGGGATCTAACTTTGATGTTACTGAAAAGAGTGTATGTTAATGAGTAATTAATTACAGCTGGTAACTTTTTTTTTAATATCAATCAGGTCATTTTTGAATTTTTTTTAAAGTCGCTTTTATTTATTTTGTTGATTTTATAATTTTTATTGATTTTGATAATAATTTACGAAGTTTAATACATATTTTATAACTGTAGACCATATACATCAGAATATTATTAATGAAAAAAGTGCAGAAAGACTTGATAAACAATTTAAAAAAATTATCTTTTATAGTTTGGGATATAACAAAATTTAGGCCCTAAAATAAATAAATATGCTGCCCACGTAGTGATAAAATAAATATAATATCCGAGAAATACAGTATCTTGAGCGTAACTGATTCAAACGATCAATAGCTCAAATTAAAGCCTATAATTTACTTATTTACTTATTTTTAGTCTAAAACGTATAAAAAACAAGAACAATACTGGAGCTATTGATTTTTTATCATAGAAAAACCTTATGAAATATAATTTTTATGTTGGTTATTCACCTCGTGTTTGCTTGAAACTCGTCCGAATTTAATAACTAATAAACTTTTAAATGAAAGCCGGTATTTTAATGTTCTTAGACCAAAATATAGGATTATATATAATTATAACTGGTGAAATACATCTTAAATTGAAGTAAGAATTCAAAAAGGAATCATATTATGTTTTTTGGTCGAGTAATACAGTAGGTACAGGTACTGAAGCGGAAGTATTAGAAGTGTTTTAATAATAGACTAGTCAAAATAGCTTAAAATTTACCTGTAGGCTACCTAGAAGTAATTGTAATATATACTTTCTGCCAATGGATTCTTATGTAAAAATGGCTGAAAAAAACGATGGTGAAAAGTCTACGGAGGTGCGTTGGCCTTGTATGAAAGGTTTTTCAAAATGGCTACCGGAAATATTTATGTTTTTAGCCAATAAGTCCTAAATTATTACAGGTAGGCCTAGCTTATTTCATTTCATTTCATTTCAATATCTTTATTCAACAATTGTACATTGTACATTGAATAGTGTCAGATTCCTAACCTAGTAAATAAAGTTATAAGCTAAAATTACAATTTATATAATACTAAGAAACTAAAAATAAAATCAGGTTAATTGGGGAAACACCTCTTTAATGGAGTAGGGAGCGATTTCTATGAGATAATTTTTTAATTTATTTTTAAATTTGATTGAGTTGCCAATGGGTTTTAAATGATTTGGAAGAAACCGTAAAAATCTTCTTCCGGCACAGGTGGGCTTTTTATTTGAAAATAAAAGATGGTTGCGACTATTTTCTCTTAGGGCTTTTCCTCTTGTATTGTAGCATAATTGTGCGTTATCTGATATACTTTCTTTCGCTATGAGAGCAGTTTCAAAAATGTATTGGGCAAACACAGTTAATATTTTAAAATTTTTGAAATGAATTTTAACACATTCATCATTTTTTAGTCCCATCATTGTTCTTAATGCCCTTTGCTGTAATTTTAAGATTCGATTAAGATTTTTCTTAGTTGTAGCTCCATATAAAGATATACCGTATGAAATGTGGCTATGGACAAGAGAATGATATATTGTTTTTAAAGTATTGATATTACATAGATATGACATCTTTTTCAAAGCAAATATCCCTGAATTTATCTTTGAGCAAACATGATTGACGTGGTCCTGCCAGGATAGATGTTTATCAACTTTTAAACCTAAAAAATCTATTTTTTCAACTTGTTTGATTTCATCGGAATCCAAAATAATCAACGGTTCTATTTTGTTTTTACATTGCTTAGTTGAAAATGATATAAAATTAGTTTTACTTTTGTTTATTTTGAGATTGTTGGATAGTAAGTAATTTTTAATATTTGCAAGTTCTATAAAGGTATCTATTTCGATATGTTCTACTGTTTTTCCTGTAATTTTTAAGTTAATGTCATCAGCATATAAACACATATTTCCACAAGGTACACACGACAGAACATTTGGAATCTTATCAATGTAGCAAAGGAATAAAACAGGGCCTAGTATTGAACCCTGAGGGACACCAAAGTGATTAAGTTTTATTTCTGATCTGTTTTTTACCAGCCAATTATTTTTATTAGACATGATTTCAACGTATTGCTTTCTTTCCGATAAATATGATTTGAACCACGCCAAAATGTGACCTCTTACTCCCATATCTTCTAGTTTGAGTAATAGAGTTTGGTGACATACCCTATCAAAAGCCTTCGTAAGGTCCATTGATATTCCTATAACATTTTCGTGGCTATCAATTGAATTTATTATACTCTCAAAAAAACTTGAAGCAGCTGTAATTGTTGATCTGCCTGAGCGAAAACCATGTTGGCCACTAAATAGAAGGTTGTTATTTTCTATAAAAGACACTAGCCTAATTTTCATTGCCTTTTCAAATAATTTTGAAATAACTGGCAAAAGTGATATTGGTCGATAGTTTTCTACGCACTGAGGGTTCCCCTTTTTGAAAATAGGCACAACCTTAGCAACTTTTAATAATTTTGGAAAATGACCGGATATAAAAGATGAATTAATTAAATGAGTAAAAATTGGAACTAGTTCTTGTTTTGTATATTTTATTACTTTAACGGGAATTTCGTCGTGCCCACGTGAAGGTTTGTTACTTAAAGAGTTTATCAGTTTTTCTACTTCCTCACATGAAACAGGTTCACATCGAAATAATGTTTTAGATTTGACACAATTTGTTAGTACTGGCTGGTGATTATCTAACAACTTATTACAGTTTACAGAACCATTATTTCCAGATAAACTTACAAAGTAGTCATTTAGTACATTAGATATTGCCCTGGGATCTGCAATAGTTGTTCCTTTGTACGCAATGGTCATGTCATTCACTAAGTTATTTTCTTTGTTACCTACTTCTTTATTTATAATTTTCCAGGTTGTTTTCATAACATTATCCGAGTTATTTATTTTTTTATCGTAGTGTAATCTTTTAGTTTTGTTTGCCGATTTTTTAAAAGTCTTCATTTTTGTTTTACAGAGGTTAGACAAGTTTTCGTCTTTTAATAATCTAGCTAATTTTGATGATTCCACGATTTCGTTAAATTCCTCCTTTAATGAATAAGTATACCACTCTTTACTGTTAGTTTGTTTCTTTATTACTTGTTTTGGAAATGCTGTGATAAAATGTGATTTGAAAATTTTATAAAATGTTTCGTATTTTTGTTCACAGTTTGCATTAAAAACTTCAAACCAGGACTCGTTTTGTAATGATATTTTGAAATTAATTAGATTTTCATCAGATAGGTTATAGTCTAAATACTTCAGTGACTCGTTTTTCCATGTTTTTTTGGTTAATTTATCAAGGGTCAAAATTTGAGCATCATGATCAGATAGATATGTAACCAGTCCCTCTATTTTTAGATTAGATTTGGGAATATTTGTCAAAAAGTTGTCTATTGCAGATTCCGAGGGCCCTACTACCCTTGTGGGAAAATCAACCAGATATTGCATTCCATGTCTAACTAGAACAGAGTTTAGATCCGTGGCATTCCTATCATTTCCTAATGTGTTAATATTTATGTCACCAGCCACTATAACATATTTATTCCTAGCTAGTACAATATCTAATAGCTTACTTAGCCTGTCTAAAAAAATTGGAACTTTAGAAATTGGTGATCTGTAAACTGCAACCAACAAGAATGATTCAGTATCGGATTTAAAACAAACCATGCTGCTCTCAAACTGTTTGTCTTCATGTAAGGATAACACTTCAGGAATAACAACTGGACTCCACTTCACAGCTCCACGCGCAAAGATGGCAACACCCCCTCCCGTCGTGGTGGTGCGGCAGTAATGAGAAAGTAATTTAAATTTATTTACATGCAATCTGGATATCTCATTTTGATTTAATTTATGCTCTGTTAAAACTACTATATCGGGGTTACTTTCGTTTAAAATAATTTCTAGTGGTTCGATGCGGCTTGCTAAATGTTGAATGTTCTGATGGAATATTTTTATTTTATTGTTATTTTTATTGATAAAAATGTTTTTGGGTGGTGTTATTTTTCTTCCATCCCTAGCACGAGCGGGGAGTTTAAAGTGGAGTCCCGTGTGTTATTTTCGGATGGAAACACTACAATAGGGTTTGCACTCCCCACTTCACTGATAGAGACTTTTTCACTGATCCCTCCCCCACTGTATTCTTCTGCAGACTCCTCAGGGCTGACAGACGTTTGTTCGACATCCTGTACTGTTGTGGATGCAGGTAGTGGCGACGGTGATGCCTGTGGTTGTGACTGCTCCTGCCCTGCTGTGATGTTGGTGGTAGGTGGTGTTGAGATGTTGTACCTCCTTAGCTCCTCAGCAATATCCTTTCGTAGCTGATTCACAAACTCATTGTGTTTTAGTCCTCTTCTGAGATGTCTGGTCGCTCGCTCATCATCCACAATAACTTTGACTGAGACTTTTGCGCTGCGGTGAAACTGAACAATATGTTTCGCAAACACGCTTGTAGGAATCTGGTCACGTATGCATCCCAGGGGAGAACAAATCAGTTCCTGCAGGTTCTTACTTTTGAAATCTGTTATGAGCTGATTATGTGCCTCCGCATAGTCTGATATACTAGGTTTTTCGCAGTATCTATTTTTAGTTATAAGACTATAAACAAGTGCCCCATTCGGAGTGTTTTGTAAAGCCAAAGCTTTGCTCACACATTGCGCTTTTGTTGGTCTACCAAACCTATTGCGGAAGATGACTGCCACTCCTTGGCTCATCTGTCTTTGGTCTCCAAAATCACCCGATATACAGTGGGCGAAAGCAACAGACGACTTGTTTTGATTTTCCGAAATAACGCTGTCCATATTTCCTTCAAGAACTTGAATTTGGCTATCGAGTATTTCAGTAGATACTACATTCGAATGGTTAACATCTTTAGTAGAACAAACAGATGCAACATGACGTGTTACTACAGGGGATGGCAATGTCTTAGATGCGTTGTTTTGTTTAGTTTTATTTTCATGTAGGAATTCATTAGTTAGCCTTATTATTTGCTTGGCTATACACTTTTTCCCCTTACTGTTCAAGTGCAGGCCATGTCGAGTGTGGTACCAGCGCTGGAGGAGATGCAGATCAAGAGTTTTAGCTTGAGGGAAATCTGCGAGCATACGTCTTATCATTAAATTTGTGTCATTTATAAACTTATTTTCAGGGCTTTCTGGTGTTAGATCGTATCTGTTAGGTATAGTAGACAGAATGAGATTTGTGTGCTCAAACTTGGGAAGAGCCTCTGTCAGATACTGACAAACTGGATTTATTGGCGCTCGAATGACTGAACTAGTGATGTCATTTGTTCCTGCTAGAATAACAATACAATCTTCCTTTGTGTAAGTTTTGAAATAGGCAGAATTCATAACTTGGTGTAGTATTGGCTTAATAGGGGCCCCTGGCTGACAGTGGTTAATAACTTGGAGAACAGTACTAGCTCCGTGTTTTGTATGTTCGATGAATGCAGCTAAGTCTCTTCCCTGGCTGTCACTTGAGATGGATAACTTGTGGGAGTCTGATCGAGGAGCTGATACGTGTTTCTTCATTGGACCGGGCCTTGTATGTTTTGTTTTGTTTACATTGTTCTTCTTAGTGGTGGTTTCTGGAAGGTCGCTATTGACAGAGACTACATTCGATTGCGGTATTTCTGCTATTACGTCCAGAACTTCAAATCGGTTTTTAGTTACTAATTTTACATTAGGTTTGGACTTTTTTGTTTTAGATATAGTCTTTTTCGAGGGGATTGTCCTCCACTTATAGCGATTTTCATTTATTTGACTTTGTGATGCTGTCGCAATGCTGCAGTTGGGGACACCATTTGGTTTTACGGCTCCAGAATACCAGTCCGCAAAAGTTGAACCAATATTTCTTTTACAAAAGTGGTCTGCAATGTACTTAGTGTTAGCCAGTACATGGATCCCACATTCAAATGTCTGTTTCTGCTGGACACAGGGCATTTCGATCACGTTATTGGATTGTATTCCAAGTTTCGCAGCAACAGATTTTGCATTCTTTATATTCATAGAGTGGACAGAGTCAAAGTGATATGCGGCTTTGTTTATCCTATCTAAGAATAATAAACTCCAATGAGATCCAGTGTCTTCTGCTCCCCCGTCTGTGCAATCGCTTAAGCATAGAAATACATATTTACAGTTCTGGTATGATGTTAGCTTTAAGCTTTCTTCATAGATGTCTTGTGTACCGAGAGTAATAGTAAGGGTCACAGAGGGTCCTAGGAATAAAACATCTTTGTTGCCTAGGTTATCCGACATGGCAGCGAAATAGTCGTTAAGGACAGAGTCATCTACCCATTTATCCTTGCCCCAGGACTTCTGTGACTGTAGTTTCAAAATATCGCATTTCATTGTGTCTAAATAAGATTTTAGTCCAGATATAGTAACATCTTTATTTTTGCTCTTTTCAACCAAGTTTTCATACTGCGAATTAGCTTTCCTGATTTGTTGTTGTAAGTCCAAATTTTCTGCAAGTAAGCAGTTATTTCTAGCAACGATGGTGTTATGTTGCAAATCCAGTTCTTTAATTTTATTTTTAAGTTTAAGCTTCTCAGTGTTTTCAGCATCCTGAATTGTAAATGAGTGGTTTAGATCAGAGGATCTTAATTTCTTTTCTTCATCTAATTTGTGTTCTAACACAGTGTTCTCTCTGAGAGATAGGTCTAGTTGGCTTGTCTTCTCATTGTTTTCAAGCATCACCTCGTCACAATGCTTTATTAGTGATTCTAGTTCACATGTTAAATTACTTAAATCTATTTCTGGGCAATTCGCTTTGATTTTATTTATTTCAAAACAAATAGCTGATATATAGTCGGTCATACTATTTTTGTAGTCTGGAGATTCAATGACAATTTCCTCAAGCTTTTTCATATTTTATAGCTTAAGTAAAATAAGCACGGAACAATGAGTGCTTTGTAAATGAATGAAGGATGGTTCTATGAATGGCTGCGTAGCGATAATAGCTCTGGAGTTCAGGTGCCGAGAGATAAGGATTGCGGTCGCTGATAAGGCGGGTTTGTTGATTAGTGGTGGTATCTGCAGTCCAGATTTTGAAGCTCTTCAGAACAGAGGGAAATGTCTCATTATATTGTTGGCAGCAAGTCTTCAAAGTGCGCATGCGCCAACTTTGAAATAACGGTCGTGGACCACTTCAATTTGTAAAACTTGTAATAGGTTAGATTATAAAGACGTTGTAATAGTGTTCAGAATTGTGTAATCGTCCGTTATTAATGTAGTATTACGTGCAAAACACACGATAGATGGTTTCATAGGAGTAAACAGTAATAGAGTACGTCAGAACGGTAAAATAAGAGATTTTGCGGCACTTGTAAAAACTGTGTAGCTATAAGGCAGATCAGGTCTACCAACCCGGTTTTGGCTACTAACTTTTTATTCTTATTTACATTAATTCAATGTAAATACTTAGCTTAAATAAGTTAATGAGTAAATTTTAAAGAATTAAATTGCGCAACTTTTGGTACCCAATAAGTTAAGTTAAGGTAAGTATTTACATTCTTACAAGAAAATAATTTTGTCAAACAATTTTAATAATTTATTGTAATTCAGGGAAATTTTGAGTTAGCCTATGGATATCAAGTTGGTAACAATGATTGTTTTGTTCCAGCTGAGAGTTTTAATTGTTGTTGTTAATATTTCAACATGTTTCTAGTTTACTTTCATGAGTTTCATGTTAATCCCCCTTCGTATGACGATTGTAAAATAGAAAAATGAATATCGAAACCTGTTTTATTTGTGAAGAAATTAGGCTATACAAGACCGTTGTGAGGTGTCATCTCGCACGGAAAAAGGAATTGAAGCAATACACCGAACCTGTAAGGCAAGGAACATAACTGAATTCCATGTAATTGTTGGTCAAAAAGTTCAAAAAAAAATGTAGGGCGCAGTTTATTAATTCAAAGTCTTCATTCAGAAAGCAGGAGGATGAAACCAGTTGTTCCCGTTCGACACGTTTTAGTGAAACCTATTTTGATTTCAAAAGTATTTTTTAATTTTTTTTTGAACAGCTGAATTAAGCCTAACATATAAACAGAGGAAAAAACAAATGGTTTGAAGCTCGGACGCTAAACTTAAGAACATCAGTGCTATAAAAGTGCAGCGAACGTAATGATGAATGGGCTGACAAAGTCAAAATACGGTTTCTAAATGTGTTCGATTTGCCTGCTATGAAAGCATGTTTCAAACACAATGTTTAGTATACTTTCAAAATGGAAAGTACGTTTCTTATGTACCCAAAAAAAGGACGTGTCCTGGGAAATGACGACTTCTGGGATCCCTAACCTTGGATGAATTTACACTCAGAATTTGGTACTTTCGTATACGGAGACCACCCAAATACAGCGCGCTTAGGTTACGGCGGTTAGGTTAGGTTGGGTTATCACAATTTTATTATGACTCATCTGGTATCGTTTGATTCATAACGAAACAAGGAAAGTACTACAAACATATTTATGATAACCCAGCCTAGCCTAACCGCTGCAGCGAGCTGTAGAAGTGGCCTCCGTATAGTGAATAGTACAAGTACCCAGAGTTTAATTATTTTTAATTAAAGAATAACTTTTTTCTAATTTTAGACATTTGAGTTATGGTCTATCTTTGGTTGTATGGCTAAATCTTACAATAGCCATTATTCTAAAAAGTCTTGTCCGTTAAGTTTACAGCTCTAGGGTAACATCTCATATGGTTTGTATGTTTTCTCTGTCCCTCTGTAACTTAACTTAGTGTAATGAATTCATTACAGAGCAACTACCTACTTGCCCAGAGTTAAATAGCTCATTCGTGTAGCTATTGAGAACAGGAAACTATAACTTAATTTCCTGTGTCTCAAGTCACATTATGTAGGCCTACCCACTTTGAGCTGTAAGAGACAAACTGAAAACATGCAAAATGAATTATTTTAATAGTCCCATCTTGGAACTGTGCTGCTGCTGGATGTTACTGGCTTGCTGAGCGTTTGGATGCAGCATAGTCACTCTCAGTCGCTCCACTAGACCACTACGGCTCACTTCAAATCTCACCACCCTACTTTTATAGTCACTATACTTGTATGTGTGTCTTTAGGGCTGCACTTTAGTATCTGTCTTACACTCATTTGAATGAATATATCGATTAGGCTATTTCATTTGATATATCAAGTTTGGTTAGTTAGGTTAACCTAACCTAACAAACCAATGAAATAATCGATAGGCTATGATAATTGTAATTCGAATGAGTGTAGGACAGATACTAGAGTATAGCCGTTTTTAGCCAAAAGAATACCCATTTAAATGCTAACTTACTATGGTCTTCAATATTCTCTAACAATAGCTTTGTTTAGCTGTGATTAGTTAGTTACCTGAAAGGTTGCCTTTGGGTTTGCCCATCTTGATTGTTATAAAGATGAGTTTATTCCTAAAAGATAGGCCTAATAATATTTCCAGTAAAATTAAACTTAAGATTGAATGAGTAAAGTTACAGAATACGAAATTTCAAGTAAGAAAAAAAATCACATAGGCTAATAAATTATATTACAGTCTACTCTTTATACTACAACTTTTGTTTGACGTTCGTTTGTAACCTCTTCCTAGTTGAGTTTAGTTAGAGTTCCTCCTATCAAAACCAAAACCAAAAACCAACCTAGTAAACATAACCTCCTTCTTCACCACTACTTACCTTTTTTCTTCTTCTTCTATTGTTTACAAAAAGCTGGTTTTGTTAAGTTACCATGTAGCTACTATAATTATACCTTATATTACCTTATATCACTATACATTTTACATTTACATTTATGATTTTACTTTACATTTTAACGACTTTTCTATCTACGGCCACCTTTGACTCCAGGCCGCGGCCTTCGAAGTGGCAACGTCGCAAGTGGTGTTGTAACAGCTGTTTTGTTTGGAAGCAGCTATAATGGTATTTGTGTATTTACGAAAGATCGTTTACTGGACTATGACAATATTGACTCCGCTTAAAAAGTACAGATATAGATTTTAATTAATATTTTTTTTTTTGTTTTCAATATTCTGTGTGTTTTATTTTCAATATTTTAATAAATTTATATTTAAATTTTAATCAATAAAGTGGGAATTAGTGAGCTGATGTAACCTCTGTCTGCCATGTTATCTTATGGGACGTATGTCTCTAAACAGCACCTCTTGCGACGTTGCCAATTCTACCAGGCCGCGGCCTGTAGTTACAGGTGGCCGTGGTTCTATCACGGCCACCTTTAACTCCAGGTCGGGGTCTGGTAGAATTGGCAACGTTGAAAGTAGGGTTGTTTAGTGTCAGATATCCCATAAGATAACATGGCTGACAGGTGACATCAGCTCATTAATCCGCACTTTATTGATTTAAATTTATTAAAATATTGAAAATAAAACACACAAAATTGAAAACCAAAACAATAAATTGAAAATCGAATATCTGTACATTTTAAGCGGAGTCAATATTTTAGTGGTAAAGATGTTGCAGACGGATTTAAAACAATATTAAGTTTTTTTCCTGTCATTGATCATTACAACATTGAACAATATTCATCAAGTTAATGAACTAAACTGGGCTCAATGGCAGTTTTCTTCATGATTTTGTTAAATAATTGTTTCTATTATATTATAAAACCGTCTATAAAACTTCGATGTAAAAAAGTAAGGTAACCTGAATAAATATTATTTAAGTTACAACCAATTAAGGAAAAGAGGTAAACGATTTCAAGGTTTTGTTTGTGGCCAAACAAATCAGAAATATTATAGATGTTAAATAAAGAGTCGTCTAAACAAATATATGTATCTTTAGAAATGATACCATTGTTAATTTGATTAAAATAACCTAGAAGACACCTATGAGCAAAGGAAGAAAGCAACGAAATTCAAATCATAACGTTTATTCAACCAACCATACAACTACAGCTCCATGGCGTTATTTATGGTCCACCTCTAATTGAAATAAAACCAAGAAATATGGTTTAATTAAACCGGAAGAAACTATTGATAATAACTCGTACACAGTTTATGATGTACTAGCTGTATCCGCGGGCTTTGCCCCGTTTAACTTCATAAGTATTCGCATGGCTCAATCACGTCCTGGTTGAAGTTCGTTCGCTACGCTCACTCACCTTCAGGTTGGAGCTCGTTCGCTGCACTCACTTGTTTTCAGGTTAGCTCGCTCGCTACGCTAACTCGCCTCCAGGTTGAGTACCAGGTTGAGAACCAGATGTTCGTTCGCTACGCTCACTCACCTTTTGGTTGCAAATTAGCTGTTGTCATAAATTTTAAAAAGTCATCCCTTTTATTGTTTATAATACTTTGATAAAGGTTTTTATGTTTTAATATTTAACATTGGAGAATTAAAACGTCGTTAAGTGCACAGGTGTGCTGCGATGGAGTATGTTTTATCTATGATTTGGACTTATTCAAAAGTAAAATAGTTTTCTGTGCTGCACTCTGTAGAAACACTGTGGCACTATTTCAAATCATGACTATTGCTAATACAGAATGTTGTGATTATTCAAACCTACAAAACAGTTGGTGAAAGTAAACATCTGCTTATGAATTATATTTATTTGTAAACATTTGTAGATCAACAAGTCTGACATTGGCCCACTTATTTTTCAGCTGATGAACTTTAGCAAACTAACATGTATGTGAATTTTCTTAGTGATATATTTTGATTTTCTAGCGATTTGCTTTAAAGAGTAACTGGTTTTTTGTGTTAAAACAATTGTTTATATCCGTTTCAATATGTAAATACTAAAGGTTCGTGTGTTTTTGTGAAATCATACATTTATAAACTAATTCTGATTTAAGTGACTGTCCAGTTTGTTTCTTAGGTGCGTTATTTAATTTTGTTACCATGGCAACGAGCATTCACACACGTGAACATGATTACTATCGGCCTAGCTCATCCTTGTCCAAGGAAAGTTCAAACGACCAAAATCTAATAAATAGGTTACGTACCTTATAAATCCGACAAACAGCTCATTTTAATTGAAGGTCGTTTACATGTTTCGGCTTGTATCGACCATTGTCAAAAATTTGCAGTTGGATGGTGAAATCCTTGTCATTGTTTTCTACTAAAAGTACATACATAAGACTCCCAACACCCAAACGAGACCACTCTACAAATACCCCTAGAACCATAGCTCACCTAAAATCACCACCTACACTCATCAGGAACAAAACTACCAATAACTCCAACTCAAAACCGCAAAAAAAGACAGATAGGGCTGATAGGCCTACCTTAAAAATTTATCACCTAAACATCCAGAGAGGGCTACAGAGTAAAATAGACAGGCTACAACTAGAAATTCAAAACCTCGATCCAGACATTCTAATAATTTCAGAACATGGTGAAAAAAAAGAAAACCTAAAAATAACAAACATTCCAAATTACATTTTGATAACAGAATTCTCAAGAATAACACATAGATGGGGAGGAATAGCAATTTTTTGCAAGGAAAACAATGTCGACATCCTAAAAATCCGAGAAATCAATACGCTCACCTTCTGTGAAGAACAATCTTCAGAACTTGTAGGAATTGAACTACCCGACTTCAAGACTGTAATTATTGGTGGATATAGATCCCTGAACCTGAACACTTTTTTTTGAAAATTTCTCAAACTTACTTTCCACAATATCTCACAAGAACAGAAAGATAATAGTGATGGGTGATTTAAACATAGACCTATTTAAAGATAACGAAACTGAAACAAAAACTCTTTTAAATATATTAGCGGAACATAACTTGAAACCATCGGAACTACCTCCAACCAGAATAACAACCACATCAAAAACTTGTATAGACCTTTGCTGTACTAACATAAACAAGGAGGACCTTGAAGTAAAACCCCATAGTAACTCAATATCTGACCATCAAGCAATTACCTGCCAACTAAAGATAGGACACAAAAAACCTATAGCACCCATAAAAAGACAAATTAGAATAACATCTCCAGCAAATCTAGACGAACTCAGAGCATCCCTCAAAAATCAAGATTGGTCTACTGTCTTTTCTAAACAAAATGTGGATGAAAAGTATGATGCCTTTATAAGAATTTTACAATACAAAATCGAAGAAATTATGCCTAAACAGTACAAAACTTTTCACCGTAGCAAGAAAAAAAAGATATTCTGGAATGAAAAACTTACTAGACTGAAAAACTTACTCCAACTAGCAGAACATAAATACTTACTCTCAAACAGGGTTGAGGACAAACTCTCGTACGTTAAAATGAAAAGAGCATATGACTTAGAAGTCAAAATCCAAAAATCAAATGCTGTTGTCCAGAAAATAAAAAATGCGCCCAACAAAAACAAAGAACTCTGGAGCACCATAAATAAAGAAAGAAATGCGGACAGGAAAATTAGAGAGGAAATAAATCTTATCAGCAATGAAAAACTGACTACCGACCCAACCCACATCTGTAACCTTTTAAACGACCACTTTATTACCCTCGGAAAACCACGCCAAACTCTGCACAATAGGACCTCAACCACCCCAAAACCGAAATCCAAACCCAATCTGCCACAACAACCCAGAGCCGACTCACTAGCAAACTTTAACAAGATAACCAAAAAGGAACTTGAACAAATATTTGACAATCTACCACCTAAAAACTCTTCTGGACTAGATCAAATATCTAACAAAATGATCAAACACTGTAAAAGGGAAATAATCACGCCACTCTTACATATCATCAATACATCTATAGAACAATCTAAAGTCCCCAAATCAGCAAAAATTGCCTTAGTTTATCCCAAATTTAAGAAGGGTGAGAAAACCTGCATCTCAAATTACCGGCCAATATCTATCCTACCCACGCTCTCAAAATATATAGAAAAGGCAATACATAATCAGCTCATCACATACCTGGAGGACAAAGGAAAGTTCACCCAATCACAGCATGGCTTCAGACATGGCAGATCAACAAATACAGCCCTTGCAAACCTATGCGAGGACATAACATCAATCTGGGGAAAAAAACTCCAAGCAACAAGCATTTTTCTAGACATAGAAAAAGCCTTCGATAGCTTGAATAGAGAAATACTAGTTGAGAAACTTCAAGAACTAAATATCACCCATAATGCTTTAATCTGGCTCCAAAATTACATGACAGACCGACAACAACTTGTAGAACTAGAATACACTAAAAAAAAACTATGAAATCAAATACAGATCTAAACTTCGAGAAACCTATCAAGGAATCCCGCAAGGATCAATACTTGGCCCGATCCTCTTCCTAATATACATAAATTCTTTTCCGAATGACCTATCTCGTGATAGCTCCTGCATAATGTTTGCGGACGACACTACCATAATTACACCAACAAATTCCAACACCCAAAAGGAAAAAATAGAAGAAACACTTCAAACTTCAATAGCCACCTGCAACTCATTAAACCTAAAAATAAATCAACAAAAAACAACAGTTTTAAACTTCACTTCTAACAGCCAGATACAGGAAGGAAATGAAAAACGAAACGCTAAATTTCTCGGAATCACACTGGACAACCGATTAACATGGCATGACCATATTGAAAATCTGGACAGTAAACTATCCCAAGTTGTATATGCTCTAAGGAGAATCAGGAAGATCACAAACAAAG